ACCACACACCACACCATAACAACTCTAACTCAGGAACCAATCCATGCAACAAACCTCGATGCCAACTCTGCCCACATATCTACACCAGCAACACCATCACAGGACCTAACCAGATCAGCTACAACATCATCGGTTCATTCACCTGCATGTCCACCAATGTTTATATGCCATCATGTGCCAGCAATGCCCCTCTGCTATGCACATTGGCCAAACTGGACAGTCACTACGTAAAAGGATAAATGGACACAAGTCAGATATCCGGAATGGCAATATACAAAAACCTGTAGGAGAACACTTCAACCTCCCTGGCCACACAATAGCAGATGTAAAGGTAGCCATCTTACAGCAAAAAAACTTCAGGACCAGACTCCAGAGAGAAACTGCTGAGCTTCAGTTCATTTGCAAATTAGACATCATCAGATCAGGATTAAACAAAGACTGTGAATGGCTAGCCAACTACAAAAGCAGTTTCTCCTCCCTTGGTGTTCACACCTCAACTGCTAGCAGAGGACCTCACCCTCCCTGACTGAACTAACCTCGTTATCTCCAGACTGATTCTTGCCTGCATATTTATACCTGCCTCTGGAAATTTCCATTACATGCGTCTGACGAAGTGGGTATTCACCCACGAAAGCTTATGCTCCAATACATCTGTTAGTCTTAAAGGTGCCACAGGACTCTCTGTTGCTTTTTACAGATCCAGACTAACACGGCTACCCCTTTGATACTTGACTGTTCTGTGATTTTTGAGCAAAGATGCCATGACAAATCTCCAGTCTTACTTACAGAATCATAGAAATATAGGGCTGGAAGAGACCACAAGAGGTCATCAAGTCCAGCCCCCTATGCTGAGGAAGGACCCTGTATACAGATATCATCCCTGCCAGGTGTTTATCTAACCTGTTCTTAAAAACCTCCAATGATGGGGATTCTACAGCCTCCCTTGGAAGTCTGTCCCAGAGCTTAACTACCCTTATAGTTAGAAAGTTTTTCCTAATATCTAACCAAAATCTCTCTGGCTGTAGGTTAAGCACATTAATTCTTGTCCTACTGCAAGTGAACATGGAGAATAATTGATCCTCATCCTCTTTATAAAAGCCCTTGACTTATTTGATGACTGGTATCAGGTACCCCCTCAGTCTTCTTTTCTCAAGACTAAACATGCTATTTTTTTAACCCTTCGCTCATAGGTCACATTTTCTAAACATTTCATCATTTTTGTTGCTCTCCACAGAACTCGCTCCAATTTGCCCACATCTTTCCTAAAGTGTGGTGCCCAAAATTGGACACAGTATTCCAGCTGAGTCCTCACCAATGCCGAGTACAATAGGACAATTACCTTCCATGTCTGACAAATAACACTCCTGTTAATACACCCCAGAATGATATTAGTCTTTTTGTAACGAGAATCACTGTTGACTCATATTCAATTTGTGATCACAATAACCCCCACATTTTCTTCAGCAATATTGCATCTACCCAGTTATTCCCCATTTTGAAGCTGTGGATTTGATTTTTTCCTTGCTAAGGGGAAAAACACAGAGAACGTCATGTGGAACTGCTTCAGAAGCCTTAGGCCTGGTCCACACTAACCCCCCACTTCGGACTAAGATACGCAAATTCAGCTACGTTAATAACGTAGCTGAATTCGAAGTACCTTAGTCCGAACTTACCGCGGGTCCAGACGCGGCAGGCAGGCTCCCCCGTCGATGCCGCGTACTCCTCTCGCCGAGCTGGAGTACCGGCGTCGACGGCGAGCACTTCCGGGATCGATCCCAGAAGATCGATTGCCTGCCGCTGAACCAGGAAGTAAGTGTAGACGTACCCGTACTAAAATCAAGATATATCATGTTTATTGTTCCCCCCATCCACTAGACCACTAGCCCTGTAGAAGAGAAGTACGTTGGTTTGGCATGATTTGCTCTTGACAAAACTATGTTGGCTATTCCTTATAACCCTATTATCCGCTAAATCTTAAAACTGATTGTTTAATAATTTGTTCCAATATCTTTCTAGGCATTGAAGTTAGGTTGATTGTTGCAACAATTCTTAGCTTGGCTACAAATTCAAACTTGAGACATACGTTACACCCCAGTAGGGTGACACCTTTTGTTTGTGCACCCTTTCAGCCTTCACCTTAAGAGCCAAAGGGATCTCTCAAATAAGGCAGAAATGGTCAATTCACCTTCAGATTTGAACAAATTCTCTCTTATAAACAGAGACAGAAGCCAAAGAAAAATTTAAGTGGACTTCTTCTACCAAAGATTCTGGAAGACTATTTTCCCAATGGATAGGCAGATGGAAAATAGTACTTTGTTCAAAAGAAAAGGACCTCCTTTTCCCAGGTTTCTTAATTGCTCATTGTGATGGGGTGTACTCCCCATACTGGTACTGAGAGGGCTGAATTAGGCCAGGTGGGCCCAATCAGCGAATTAAGCAGCAAATGAGGGAGACAAGCTGTGTGGGGAGCTAATTGCGAGGAAGCTCACCTGTGAAAGAAGAGGAGGTAGGCGGAGTTAGTATAAATCCAGGAATCTGGTAGCAGCAAAGGCTGCCCAGAGGATTTTGCAGTCAGCCTCTGTTTAGTAGAGAGTGAAGGAGGGAACCGAGGGAAATAATAGGACCCTGGGGGCCTGGCCCTAAGGGAAGGGCATACACTCAAGAGAACAGGGAGGGAAGAGAGCTTGTGGGATGCGGGGTAGGAAGCAGCAAGGTTGTGGACTAAACAGACCGTGGCTGCATGTTGTAGGGAATCTGGGTTGGAACCTGAGTAGAGGGTGGGCCTGGGTTCCCCTACGTGCCACTGGGGAAGTGGCACTGGTGGGGTAGTGAACTGGAAGATTGCCTGGGTCACTGGAGGAGTGACTGGGTCAGGGCACTGGGTGTGAGAACTGCCGGAGGCCCCTTGAACAGAAGAGACTTTGAAAGATTATACCCTTGAAGTGGGGAATGCTGAGTGACCTGGCTGGAGGGCTGAGTAACAAAGAGGCAGCAGCAGCTCCTGGAGTGAGAGAGGAGCTGTGGACCAAGAGAGACAGAGAGAGACGGTGTGCAACAGAGCTAATCCCCAGAACAGCCAGGAGGAGGTGCCATTGCAGCAGTAAGTACAGCATCCCTGTCACACTCATCAACCGGAGATGGTGTAAATGCTACTCGCATTCAAGGCTGAAACTGGAAGAATCTGTGCCAAGCACAAGAATTTTAGATGCTGGTTCTTCTCATTTCTTCCACAAGGATTATATTGGGAACCCAGAACATAGCCTTATAAGCATGTGTTCTTCTCCCAAATACAGTAGGCACATTGAATGCAAGTCTGTGATGGACATGTGGCACAAGCTGTTTAATACGTAACTTTAAACTTCAATAATTCTCTCCTCCTCCATCAATTTCAATTTAAAAAAATTCCAGAAGAATACAATATAATAAATAGATACTTAATAAGTTGAGTTTTATTGACTCATGATGTAAAATACTACCCAACTATGGTACCAGCAGAGATCTGTATTCACTTCAGGAAGCACTGAATCTTGATTTTTATTGGACTGGAAAAACGAGTATGCGACCATGTAACTAAAGACTGCATAATAATACAGACGGAATAAAGGCAGCACAGGAAATCTTCATTCTGGAGCTTTCTAACTTTTGAGAATTTGACTTTGCAATCTAAACAACATTCATTAAATGAACGGGGGCAGAAGGGAGTTGTTTGCCTAAGATTTTTTTAGATAGAAAAAAACCAATTCTATTATGCACAGCTGCAATGCTTTCCTCCATCACCATATCATCATCAGGGTTTGAACCTTGGACCTTCAGCGCAGACCACTGAGAGACAGTGTGACTAAGGCCAGGTTTATACTACAGACTTATATTGGTATAACTACATTGCTCAGGGGTGTGAAAAATCGACACCCTTGAACAACGTAGTTATACCGCCCTAACCCCCCCATGTAGACAGAGCTATGTTGACAGGAGAGCTTCTCTCATCGGCATAGCTACTGCCTCTTGGGGAGGTGGATTAACTAAGCCAATGACAGAAGCTCTGCTGTTGGCGTAGGAGCATCTTCACTAAAGCGCTACAGCGGCGCAGCTGCGTTGATGCAGTGTTTTAAGTGTAGACCTGCCCTAAGTGGCACTCAGGTCTGTCATATTACAGCTCTGAGTTCCATTCCCTGGTTGTGGAATATCAGAACTTGGTATCTGGTATCTAGTACTGTGCATCTTCCAGGAGGTCAAATGGTATTGTGGTTGGGAGAGGGGGTGGCCACATAATTTATTTTGCTTGTGTCTCATTAGAGGAGGTTCAGCTTTGTGTGGCATGCTGGAGTGAGATACCAGCATCGTGTATGCACAGTGCTGACGTAATGTTGAACGCGTTTAGCAGTTAGCCTGAAGCAAGCTCTGCTGAACAAAAGACTAATGGGAAATGTCAGCTTCTAACACCTTATAACTTGGCCCAATTATCATTATTATTTAACATTTATACTGCAGTAGCGCCTGGGGGGGGGGGGTCAACCCAATTGAGGCCTCATTGTGCTAGGGCTGTACAAACACACAGAAAATCACAGTCCCTGCCCCACAGAGTCTACAATCTAAAAGATAAGACATGGTCGATGGGTAAGATAAACAAGAGAATCGGGGTGGGGATGGTATAATATGGGACATATACAATTCTTAGCCAATCAGAAGCAGTGATCACAACTCACCACCTACTTAGACAGTCTGAATAGATTTTTCAAGAGAAAAACAAAAAGCACCTCCCTTGACCCAAATGTCAAAGTGCCCATGCAAACCAAGGGGGCATTACAGTACTTGTAAAAAGCAGATTTTTTTTTAATAATGAAAATGTGAGGCAATCTAAATATAGAGCATCACTAGAGTGCTCCATAGAATAAACCATAAACCGCTTGGTAAAACTAACAAATGATTTGGCTTCTCTAACTTGTAACGTATTTTTGTGAAAATGGGGTAAGGACAATTAAAATTTAAACTAGCTGGTCTACCTGGGATGCTCTGTCTCCTCACAGCCAATGCTCCTTCAGGTGGTTTTGTCTGGTTTGCAGATTTAGTATAGGGACTCTCATCTGAAAACAAACAAACAGTGAAGGTTTCAGTTTCAAATATGTTGTAAGTGATATATTTCAACATAATTTCTGATTTAACTAGTAATTTACTTCTCCCACAAAAAGGAACAATTTGATAACATACCAGGAACATTATTAGTCCTATAGGATTGTCATAAGGCAGCCCCACCCAGAGCACCCTTGTAAGGAAGGCTGTGGCATAACAGTTTCCTTCCTTCTTAGTCCCTAGAAATAGTCCAAAGAAACTTCCCAAGTATAAATATAGCCCTTGTGGGGTTCATTTAATACAAAAGTCCCGTCCATATAAATCATAACAATACAAGTCCCATCAATGAGAATTCCTCCAGCATAGTCCAAACAGTATATATACTATGCAACGTACAAGCCCCGCAGTCCCTCACCAAGCCCTTGCGCTCCAGTGCCGCCCCAGGGTCCCTCACCACATCCTGACACTCGAGTGCACTCTTGTCCTGTCCTTTTATTAGGATGGCCACCCCCGCCTTTCCAACTGGAGTACAACTCTACTCCCATGGTTCCTCTGGGTCCAGCTCTCAAGCCCTGGAGAGGTCAGCGGGTAAGCTCCTACACTGGTTCCCTGCCTTCAGCCCTCTCTGGCCCACAGCTCTGGCTCTCCAGCTTTGAGCCAGCAGACAACTCCTGCCTTCAGCCCTCTCCAGCACTCTTCCTCTACCTTTCTGGCTTGGGGATACCAGCCAGCAAACCCCTCTTGCTGCTCTCCTTGCCTTCAGTCTTCCCCCAGGAAACACCTTCTTCTCTCTTCCAGGACCTCCTCCAGTCCCCTGTTCTCAGGCAGCTCTCACCTGTCTGCACTGGGACTCTCTTTCCTGGCTTCCTTCAGGCACTTCCCCTCACTGGATCTCTCCCTGGGCCTTTATAGCTCACAGGTGCTGCCCCACCCTCTTAACTGGCCAATTGGGAGCACCTGCTCTGGCAAAGGGAGCTTGGCCTACTTCATTTACTGTGGCCAGCCATTCTGTGACAAGGACGCACAGAATGTCTTTAGTATACTAGCCAGGGCAGTGAGTAAAGTGCACTCTCTCTGAATACAAGAGCCGTCACTGGCTACATTGGAAGTATAAGAATGAACACTTCCTCTCTTTTGAACACTTCCTCTCTCTTGGACAAAGATGGCAGACTCTAGCTGTGTCACAGAGCAGAAAAGCACTACGTAAAGCTCATATTGCAGGCAGCCTTTACCTGTATCTGGCTACGGGAAACTTTAACTGTTCTACTTTAAAAGGACTCTGGGAAATGTGGACTTTCCCCTTTTCACTTTAAGAACCCTTGTTCTCACTTTAATGACTCTAGAAGTGGGAGGCCTCCCATCCACATTAGCTGCAAGAAGCTTTATGCCTTTATCATTTTGAGACTCTGTAAAAAGACATTCTTTTTGATTTGGGGCTCTGCTCACAGAAAGCCCCTCTTGTGTTGTGGCCAGTGATCTGTGAGAGTGTCAGCCAACCATTTCCAGACTCAGCCTGGCCAAGCACTTTCCTACCCAAAGGACGACACTGCACCCACTAGCAATGGGCTTGTCTTCATGCACAGCAATGCAGCTGCGCCACTGTAGCACTTTAGTGAAGATGCTACTAAGCCGACGGGAGACCTTCATGTCAATGGGAGAAGCTCTCCTGTCAACTGAGCACTGTCTACAGGGGTGGGGAGGGGGAAGGTCGGTATAACTATGTTATTCAGGGTGTGGATTTTCCACACCCCTGAGCAATGTAGTTATACTGATATAGGTCTGTAGTGTAGACCTGGCCTAAGTGGTGATGCTGCTCTTGATCAACCTTGATCCTTCTGAGTCACTGGGACTGGCTAGCAGGGCAGATGGGCCATCCATTAAAGGCAGAACCAGGTAGAAATGAGTTGCTTACTGCTCCCCCATAGCAGCCTTCTCAATAGGAGAAAAAAAAACCCAGCTTACAGTGCACCATTAAATATAAATTACCACCAGAGAAAGACTTCAATAGGAACTGTATGTGTTAATTAGGCACTAGTATTAATAGTGTTTACTTCACTTCCTCAATCAAAAGAAAAAATAAAAGGGAATTAGATCCTATTTTGTGGGTCCTTTAATCTGGTTCTCGAACAGCTCTTTATGCATTATCAAATATTTCTATTTGCATACTTTTTTCTCTTTAAGTTGGGAAGGACCAATTAGTTTTTAGCATATGCATACAACCGTTCGTAAATACAGATCAATGGCTAAAGGAATCAAAGCCTAAGTTGTCTAGTGACACCTTGAGATGCAACAAAAATCAGTAGATGAATAATATAAACATATTTTTGGCTATCAATTTTTTTTTCTAACTGACCCTCTTGAGATTTTTTCTCTCTTTACTGATTACTGTATTTGTAAAATCTCAGACTCCATTAGAAAATTATATCAGAAGATAAACCATTCATTTTTATTCAAATAAGATAAGGGTTTGGTCAGCATAATTTAAAACCAGGTCTCAGATAAAAGACACTACAAAGAACAGTTCATTTTTTTCAAACTACAGATCTTCTACAACAAATTCCACTTAGTAAGGCAGACTCAGTAACAAGAAAAGCTTCTGAACATTAGCAACAAGGTAAAAGGCTGTTGTACAACCATGCCCCTGGAAGGGAATGGAGCGAATAATTAAAAGCATCTCAGTGTATCAGGTCTGCAAGATATCATTGCTTCTACTACAGTAAGATTAACTCCCATTGCCATGGAACTACATAATCATAATGAGTAAGGCTAGGTCTACACTACAGCGGTGTTCCGACCTAAGATACGCAACTTCAGCTACGTGAATACCGTAGCTGAAGTTGCGTATTTTAGGTCGGCTTACCTGGTGGTGAGGACGGGGTAAAGCCGACCGCTGCCGCGCTGCCGCCGACTCCGCTACCGCCTCTTGTCGAGGTGGATTTCCGGAGTCGACGGCAGAGCGATCAGGGATCGATTTTACCGCGTCCTCACGAGACGCGGTAAGTCGATCCCCGATAAACCGATTGCTACCCGCCGGATCGGCGGGTAGTGAAGACGTAGCCAAAGATAACACAGCCTCTGCTACGCTGTATGCTAGCGTAAAGCCAAAGACAATAACAAACATAGAATGGAGAGAGAGAGACAGACAGGATTCTGAAATGGATTTAAATCATGCCTATGTTAAGACAAAGGTGGACTTTGGAGGATGCACCACCAATCTTTCCACCTTAAAAAAAACAGCTTTGGTAAAGCTAATATTATTGTATGAGGGGATACAGTCCTGTTGGATTTTGAAAAACATGTCTGGAGAGAGAAGTTAGTGCTTGTGAAAGAAGTGGATTGATCTTTCTCATTCACAGAAAAGGCAACGCACAGCTACTGGCAGTACAAGGTTCCCCCGGCTACCCCAATAGGGGGCAGTTTAGATACCCCATACATGCAATCTTTAGCTCTTTCTTATTAGAAGATGCCAATTGTGATGGTAACTATTGTGGCAGCGATACTTCTCTATTAAGAAATGAACAGAGATCATCCATGTAGTTTCACATAATCTGATGAATGACGACGACGTTTGGTTACTACCAATATCTGAACAGGGGGACTTTAGACAAAAAATATCCATTGAACAAAACAGTCCTGGCCCTAGTGCGCCTTGATAAAATATTCAATTTAAATTAATCACTTTAGGCAGACTGGAGAGAGGACAAAGGGAAGAGGAGTTCTCACAAGTAGACATTCAAACCCTATTTCTAAAGAGATAAGTAAATCAACTAACATTTCCTGTGAGAATAAGATTTTCCCAGTACCCCACTGCATTTTAGGGGGTCCTGGTCTCAAAGTGAAGTTTACAGGGCTCACAGGTGCCCAGGTAGATTTGAGTACGTACTTTGTATTGAAGAAGCAGGACAGATGGTTGCACTATGAAGATCAGAGAAGAGAAGAGGGGCCAGTTAGTCAAAGTTTCCTGGAGCCAGTGGCTCATATGGCTGATGTGGATAAGGCACATCAGTTTCATAGCCAACGGTACACACAACGGAGCGTTGGGGCCAGCATCACATCTGACTGCTTTGACTTTCCTAACCGAATGGATCAGGTACCCATTTTGCAGAGGGGTAAACTGGAGGTGGCCTTTCAGTGTGAGATTAAGTGAAAATTGAACCTTCAGGATTGCAGTCGAGCACCTTAATCACTCAGCCACTGCACCTCTAGCCAACATCCCAAAAATGTAAGGGGTAAATAGCTACAGATAATCTCCCTACCTGATAACTAAAGATTAGGTAAAAGGGTGGTGGATTTCAAGGCTTGTTATATGGAGAGGAGTCATGTGGCACAGCAGAGGGGCATTCCTTTATCAAGATTAGATTATATTCAGGAGTATAAATATCACCTAGATATAATCCTGAATGTAAATATATACTGATTATTTATCATTCCTAGGGAGATATTCCTACCCTTTAATGAATTTCTGTTACACTAAACTAAGTGTTTTGTTACTGAGGAGCAAAAACATTTATCTGCAGCACTTTCATATACACAACTTCAAATTTTGCCTCTTAATTCACTAACTCTTTCCCATTTTTAGAGAGACCCTACTGCAGGTGTTCATTTTTACTACGGGGGAAATAGCATTGCTCTGTAGATGCAGTCCTTGACCTGTATTCATTGCATCAATGGATTTTTTTTTTTTTTAATTTCCTCTGGCTGAGAGATTAGACAGTCTGTGGTAAACAAACAATTTTTAGTAAGTCACTATGTTGTACTTTGGTAATTGCTATGCCAGCAGATTCCTTAACTTAATGACTACAGGAAAAGCTCTTCATGTTAACTATCAGGTTTCAATTTCCATGGATATGAAGACAGACAACTTGCATATTTCTTGTAGTTGTTTGTATACAATATTGAGCAAGTTACCAGAACATTTTCATTTACATCTTTCCTGACCAGAATGCAAAACTAATCTTTGAGGAAAAGTCTCTCAGATTACGGACATATAAACTTCTTAAGTTGGTAAGCAGAA